CACTCATACTACTACTACTGCTGCTGCTGCTGCTACCACTGCTGCTGCTGCTGCTACCACTGCTGCTGCTGCTGCTGCTGCTGCTGCTGCAGGTCGACAGGGACTGCGTTTACGCCGCAGCTGAGTAGGCTGTATCCGGAGATGATGGAGATTTACGGGGTGTATGGACAGCGGATTTTGCAAGAAGTGGCAGCAGGAGGTCCCGGAAGAGTTCGTCATTCCGAAATAAAGAATTTAATTATTTTTAAAAGAGAAACTTTGCATTTGTTGGAGGTTTTCACGACAGAAACCATCAAAGATCCTGCTGCTGCTGCAGCAGCAGCGGCGCCTGCTGCTGCTGCTGCTGCTGCCAGGAAGCAGCTCGTCACCGATATGCTCGGACAGGTTCTTCAGCCCATTCTCCAGGACTACAGGCAAGCCCAAACCCTAAACCCTAAACCCTAGCCCCGCGAAACCCTAAACCCTACCCAGTTGCTGAGTGCAATGTAAACCCTAGTCCCGGGAGGATTTGCATTGGGGAACTAAACCCTCGCAAACCCTCGGCGTGAACAGCGCAAACCCTTTCAAGCAGCAAAACCTGAAAACCCTAAACCCTAAACCCTAAACAGCCGAGATTGGCTGCGCAGCGTCTGAAGCCCGTTAGACACTGCAGCTGCGCACGGACGTGATCGCCTCGGAGCCTTCATTTGCGGTCAAAGACTTTAGGGTTTAGGGTTTAGGGTTTAGGGTTTGGGGTTTGTGGGGCTGCAGGAACAACACCCCAGACACGAGGGACTACGAAGTGCTCACACTTATTTCTGTTCTCATGTCCCGGCTGGACACCCACATCACTTCGGTAAGAATCGAGGGTTTAGGGTTTAGGGTTTAGGGTTCAGAGTTTAGAGTTTAGGGTTTAGGGTTTTTGCGTGTGCGCAGGTCTTGCCAGTGATATTTGACTACATTTTTGACTGCACGCTTCAAATGATAAAGTCGGACTTCCAGAGGTAATTCTGCGGGGCCTCTGAAGGAAGCGGGGTCAGGGTTCAGGGTTTAGGGTTTAGGGTCTAGGGTTTAGGGTTTAGGGTTTGCGCGCAGCTACCCAGACCACCGGGAGCGCTTCTACGCGCTGCTCAAGGCAGCCAACCAACATTGTTTTTCGGGTTTATTTTCTTTGCCTTCGACTCAACTAAAGGCTTTTGTGGAATCTTTAGGTAATTAAATTTAAATTTAATCTTTTTAATTCAATCTTTTCAACTTTTCAACTCCATTCGCTCTTTTCTTCTTTCCGATTTTCCGGAATCGTTCAGATTCACGTTTTCATCTTTAAGGGGCTCTTTTTAGGTTCTTTTTATTCTTATCTCGCTTTAAAATAAGCTTTAATTATTTCATTTTTATTTTTATTCAATTTTTTCATTTATTTCCGTTTAATTCTCAAGTTTCCGGACTTGTTCACTTTCACTTCGCCATTTCGCCGCTGGGTTCCCGTCCGGCGCTGTCTGGTGCTTGGTTTTTCTGGTTTTTCGATTTTTTGCATTTAATTTGATTTTAGTGTATTACTTTTGACTTATTTTGGTTTTATTTCGTTTTTTTTGCACTTTTTTTGCTGCTTTCGGCGCAGTTTGGGCGTTCAAGCACGAGCACCCGTCGCTGGCCGAGGAGGGTTTGCAGGTGACGCACGAGTTCTTGCAGCGGCTGATCGAGGGAAAGCGCGAGGTAATTGTCTTTTTTTGGATTTTAAATCGGAAAACCGGAAACGTTTGGTTAAATTTAGTTCATTTTCGCGTTTAATTGCGCCATTTTGGGGTTTTTTCCGCGAAGATCGGGGGCGTTCAGGTTCTGCTGCTGCAGCTGCTGCTGCTGCTGCTGCGCTGGGGTGTACGCGCAGGTCCTGAACGACTTCTGCTGCAACTACTACTTCAGTTTGATGAAAGAAATACTTTTAGTCCTCACAGATCGTCTTCACCGCTCCGGATTCAAATACCAAACGCTCATCTTCATGTCTCTTCTCCGAATTGTCGCATTTAGACTAGTCGAAAACGAGCAGCAGGGACTTACCCAGGAAAATGTCACGTCAGCTTGCTGCTGCCGCTGCTGCTGGTTGTGGTCTGGGCGCTGCTGCTGCTGCTGCTAGTTCGGGTGCTGCTGCTGCTGCTGCTGCTGCTAGTTCGGGTGCTGCTGCTGCTGGTTTTGGGGATGATGGTGGCGCTGCTGTCGCTGTTTATCTTGCTGCTGCTGCGAGTCCATTTCGTGCTGCTGCTGCTGCTGCTCTCAGCCCTCGCGCGCGCGCGCTGCTGCTGCTGCTGCTGGCTGCCCATCCGTGCTAACCATTTCCATTGACTTCTCATCTTTTGTTTTCCTTTACTTATTTATATTTATTTGTTTATATTTATTTATTTATTTATATTTATTTGTTTATTTAGTTATTTATTTATTTATTGTTTTGTTTGCAGGAAGAGCCTGATAGACTTGCTGTGCCGCAGCTTCCAAACCCTAAACCCTAAACAAGTGGAAGCTTTTGTTTTGGACCTTTTCAACTTTTGCGTCGACTCAAACCCTAGCCGCTTCCAGGAGCACATGAGGGACTTCCTCATCTCCCTCAAGGTCCAAAACTAGGGTTTAGGGTTTAGGGTTTAGGGTTTACGGTTTAGGGTTTATGGGCTAGGGTTTAGGGTTTAGGGTTTGGCATTCGTTCCTTGAGCTTAAAATTTATTTTCTTTTTGTTTAATGATTTATTCTTTATATTTTATTATTTATTATTATTTATTATTTATTAGTCATGTATTATATATTTATTTTTATTTATTTTTATGTTCTTATCTTCGATTTTTAATTATTTTACTTTTTATTTATTTCTTTTCTCTCTTTCAATGGCTCTTGTCATTCCTCAATCTTTTCGTTTATAATATTTGTCCATTTCTACCTTCAAATTAATTTTTTATTTCTCATTTTATTTATTTATTTTTTATTTTTATTTGTTTTATTATATATATATTTGTCTTATATATTTATTTGTTCTATTTATTTATGTATTTATTAATTTATTTATTCAGCTAATCAATTTATTATTTATACATTTATTTTTTATCTATTTTATTTTATTCATTTATTTATTAACTTGCCCAACAGTATTTATTTTTTCTACTTTATTGAAACATTTTTCTTCTTCATTTCTTATCACCTTTCCCTCATTTTTTCCCCTCATTTACCTATTTTTTTGTTGATGGATAGATATATTTGTTTATTATTTTATTTATTAATTTATTTATTTTTTTCATTTTTTATTTTTTATTTTTATTTTTATTTTAGGAATTTGCCGGAGACAACGAGGCCTTATTTGAGGCGGAGCGAAAAGAGGCTTTGGCGAGGGCGGCGGAGTTGGAAAAGCAAAAACGAGGAATGGTATTTCTTTATTTTCAGCGCAAAATAAATGCAATTAATGCCATTAATGCCATTAATGGCACTAATGGCATTAGTGGCATAAATTAAAAGCTTGAAATTCGAAAAAAACGGGAAAAAAGACGAGAGATAAGCCTGAAACGGACTTTTATCGGGAAAATTGAAAAAGATTCCGTTTCGCTCAATTTTCCACTTAAATGGCACTAAAAAAGTGATTTAATGGATTAATTTGGTGGAAATAAACGACTTTAATGTTTAAATTGTCATTTGGAATTAAAATGAATTAAAAAGAATTCAAATTAATCATTTTGTGCAAAGTTGCACTTTTGCTGCTGCGCAGGTTCCCGGGCTGCTGCCCCAGTACGAGTCCATGGTGTCTATACGCAACATGGAGGACTGAAACAAAAACAAATAAATAAAATAAAAATAAATAAATAAATAAATAATATTATTGTTTAATTGCAATTTTAATTCAATAAATAAATACAAACAAACCCCAAACTCCCGCGCCGCCGCGTTGGCTCCAACTGAGAAAACGCCGCAGCACTTTTTCTTTTAATTTATTTTCATTTATTTTTATTTATTTATTTATTTATTTAATTTTATTTATTATTTATTCATTATTCATTCAATTGTAAATATATAATTAGAGCTGTAATTATTACCATTTATTAATTTACTTTCGCTGAACTTCGAACTGGCGAAGAAGAACCGGGCCAAATAATAAAATCAAAAATAAGTAAATAAATGAATAAATAAATAAATTAAAAGTCAAGGAGATATAGCTTGTCTCTTACAGCTTCAAATGTCGTCGAGCCGCTAGCTGGGCTACTACGTGGCAAGCTAGCTACGGCTAGCTAGCTATAGCTAGCCAGCTACGGCCAGATAGCTATAGCTAGCTAGCTACGGCCAGCTAGCTGCAGCTAGCTAGCCAGGGCTAGCTAGCTACAGCTAGCTAGCCAGGGCTTGCTAGCTAAGGATAGCTAGGCGGGGCTTACTAGCTGGGGCCAGCTAGCTGGGGCCAGCTAGCTGGTGCTACCTAGCTGAGGCTGGCTGGCTAGGGCTAGCTAGCTACAGCTAGTTAGCTGAGCTAGCTGGGACTAGCTAGCTACGCGTTGCGTTCTTGTTTTCACGGGCCCCGGGCGGCTGTGCTGTGGCCCTTTGCTAGCTTTCAGCGCAGATAGCCAGCTAGCTAGCTAGCTAGCTACCTAGCTAGCTTGCTTTCAGCGCAGATAGCCAGCTAGCTAGCTAGCTAGCTACCTAGCTAGCTAGCTAGCTAGCTAGCTAGCTAGCTGGCCGAGACCGAACCTGCTGGCTAGGCACTTCTAACGGGGTGCGACGAAGTACCTTGCCAGATGAACAGCTAGCTAATGACTGGCTAGCCGCCAGCTAGCCAGCCAGTTATCTAGCTAGCGAGCCAGGTGATTGTATCCACCCAGCTAGCCAGCCAGTTATCTAGCTAGCTAGCCACGTCAGCCCGCCTAGCCAGCTCGCCGGTTAGCTACTTACTACCTACCAACATAAGCATAGCTAGCCCGCTAGCTAGCTTGATGGCCAGCTAGCTAGCCAGCTAGCTAGCTAGCCCTATTGCCAGCTGTCTAGCTAGCCAGCCATCTCGTCAACCAGCTAGCTAGCTAGCTGGCTGTCTAGCTAGCTAGCTAGCTGTCTAGCTAGCTAGCTAGCTGTCTAGCTAGCTAGCTAGCTGTCTAGCTAGCTAGCTAGCTGGCTAGCTAGCCAGCTAGCAACGTCGCCAGCCAGCGACCTCGCCGGCCAGCTCGCCAACTAGCCAGCCAGCTACCCAGCCAGCTAGCTAGTTAGCTAGCTAGCTAGCTAGCTAGCTAGCCAACTAGCTAGCTAAATATAAACAATAACGGGAGACTTGTCTTTAACGTCGAAAGCCCTCAGCCACAAACTCTCTGGAGGAACTCCAAATTTTCTTTGGAGACTTTTGCGGCCCTTTGGAGACAAAGAATGGCCCTGGACAAAAACGCAAAATAAATCATTTTAGAAGATTTAAATCCATTTTAATTCATTTTGAATGCTTTTCGCTCGTTTTAATCCATTTAAATGCATTTAAATCGATTAAAGTGATTAAAATGACTTGAATTGGGTTAAAAAGCACTTGAAATGATTAAAAAGCATTTGATATGATTAAAAACGGATTCGAAATGATTAAAAACGGATTCAAAATGATTCCAAACGATTAAACTGAGAAAAAGAATGATTTAAACGTGCATTTATTAAAAATATGTAAAATAAATAATGAAAACAAAAAGAAACAAGAGAGAATTAAAAAGAATCCAAAGAATTAAGAGAATTAAAAAGATTGAAATTAACGAAAAAGAAATGAAAAGGATTAAAAAGAATTAAAAAGGAATGAAAAGATTTTAAGAAATAAAAAGAATTAAAATGGCACGAAAGAAGAGAAAAACAAAAAGTTTGAAAAATTAAAAAACGAAATTTAAAAGAATTAAAAACGAAAAAAAGAAATATAAAAGGATATTCAAAAGGACAAAAAAGAAACACCAACAGGTAAAAGACATAGCTAGCCAGCTAGCCAGCTAGCTAGCTAGCCACCTAGCTGGCTAGCCAGCCAGCTAGCCAGCCAGCCGCCTAGCCAGCTAGCCAGCCAGCTAGCTAGCTACCTAGCCAGCCAGCTAGCTACCTAGCCAGCCAGCTAGCTAGCTAGTCAGCTAGCTAGCTAGCCGGCTAGCTAGCTAGCCACCTAGCCAGCCCGCTAGCTAGCCAGCCAGCTAGCTAGCTAGCTAGCCAGCTGGCTAGCCTAGCTAGCTAGCCAGCTAGCTAGCCAGCTGGCTAGCTAGCTAGCTACTGACGTTGAGTTTGGCGTGGAGCTGCTGCTGCGCGAGGGCCTGGACTTGTTTGTTTTGGGAGTTTTCGAGTTTTTGGGAAAT